GGCTGTATATTTGTGTGTGGTGCAGTGTGTAGGGGAGGTTATAGTTTGTGTATGTAAGGGGGGCTGTGTGTGTAGGGGGGGCTGTGTGTGGTGCAGTGTGTGAGGGGATAGGGGGCTGTGTGTGTGTGTAAGGGGGCTGTGTGTGGTGCAATGTGTGAGGGGATAGGAGGACTGTGTGTGTAAGGGGGGGCTGTGTGTGTGTGGTGCAGTGTGTGAGGGGATAGGGGGCAGATTAAATATATATATATTTTTTTATTATATAATTAAATAAATATATCTAATGTCCCCCGTCCCTTCTTACCTTTGCTGAGGGAGGGGGAGACATTGTTTTCTTCCCATCCCTGGTGCTTCTAGTGGGGGAGTGAACTCTAACCTGCAGCTCAGGCTAGAGTTCACTCTCGCGAGAACAGAGCATTGCCATGGTAACCGCGGCAACGCTCCGTGATCGCGAGAGGAGAACCCGGCGGAGCTACAGGTAAGAGCTCCCCTGGATTCTCTCCTCCAGTCCGTGATGGCAATCAGCAGTGCTGGTGCATGGATAGTACCAGCCCTGCATGGGCCGGAAGGGGAGAGCCTCAGCCTCACTATTTTCTCGAGGGGGGGGAGGCAATTGCCCCGTTGCCCCCCCCGGATCCGCCAATGCCCTGGCCCTATCCCCATGGGTGGGTTTCGGGTTACCAATTATCCCGGTACTGTGCCTTAATGCTTTTCTGGTTTCTAACCACAATAGTGGTTATACAGACAGTACGAGATCGTCAGTGAAGAGCCTATCCCCCAGGGTTGGCTCCTGTTACACTTTCTCGCAATGAATAAAAATAAAAAAAAATTACCAAAAAATCATAGGAAAATAGAAAGTGAATATTTCTCGTTTATACCCCAAGATGAGGTCTCTTGTTGGAGTAATATTTTTTTTACAGTCCCCACCTCTTCTCAAAGGTGGTATGTGGCCGATTGCCATTGGTCTGAGAGAAGGTAACGTGTGTCCATACTCTAAAAAATGCTTGGCCACTAGTAGTTCCGACTTGTTATCCCGGTAAGCTGTCCGGATGCTCGATCTGTGGATTCTGATCCATTCCCTCAATGGGAGATCAGTCTTCCCCACATATGCCAGGCCACAGGGACAAGTCAGTTTTTAAATAACATGATCCGTAGTGCAAGTTAATCGATGATTTATGGTATACTTTTTCCCGGTATGTGGATGTGTGAATACCTTGCCAGGAATCATGTATCCACAAGTTACACAACCCACGCACCAATAGCAACTGTGGTTACGTGTCGTCGTTTCTGTGGAGTAACCGTTGTGCTGGATCTGTATTCACTAATAGATCCCTGAGGCTTTTACCTCTTTTGTAACACATCATAGGAGTAAATGTCGTGTCATTGGACATCTTTCTCCAATTATCGTTGATAATTTTTCTAAGTTGTGTTGATGCTGTTGTGTATGTCACAGGGAATGTAATGCATTTCTTCTGGTTTTCCATATTGAAGTACCTGTCTCTCACCTGGTATTTCTGTAAAGCTGCATTCAGAGTTGTTTTCTTATAGCCATGTTGTATGAATATACCCCACATCATACTCATTTGTTCCTGAGTCTTGGATGGTTTTGAATTGTTCCTATACACCCGTAGAAATTGAGAATATGGCAAAGATGCCTTCAGTGTGTTTGAAAGAAAGCTACTGGTATGTAAAAGCGTGTTCCTGTCGGTAGGTTTCGTGTATAGGGTAAAGGCTAATTTCAAGCCCTCTGTATACACCCTCACATCCAGAAAGTCGATTGTTTCATGGTTAGCTGCCATGATTACTTCAATATTTGGTGTTGCTGAATTGATGTTTGAAACCATGTTTTCCGCTATATTTGTATCACCTTCGATGATATAAAAAAAAGTCATCTATAAATCTGGTATACATTAGAATGTTACCTTTAAGCGGTTCCACTATGTGTTGGGATTTTAAATTGTACATATAGCAATTAGCATACATGTGGGCCATGATCCTCTGGATTTATATATATATATATATATATATATATATATTTTTTTGGCTGTATATATATATATATATATATAGATATATATAGGAAGGCTGAGTCTGTGGGTTGGGCTTGTAGTTGTGGGAGAGGATATTGCTATAAATACACAGGTCGCCCTTTTCTCCAAGCTGAGACTGTCTGATTCAGTACAGGTCCATCTACTTCCAGTTCAAAGGTTATCAACACAAACTGTCTAACCTCCAGACAAGCTGGTCTTTGCCTTGTGCAGCCCATGCAAGTATTCATTTTACCTCAATCTTGTAAAGAGCCTCCTCCCTCGAAGCTAATTGGGCACCTCTGTGTCTGGCTCACTCGTGGCTGTTACTGTTCGCACATTTTATTAAATTATTTATTTATTATTTATTTTATTTTTTTTCTCTACAAAACTGTAAGTTTGTTCACTCAGATATGGCAAATTTAACTACCGGGTACTCATGCAAATTCAGCATATTTCAATCGTCCATAGTATTAAAGCGATGCCTCAATTAGGTTCATGCTTTTACTTACTGTATTTGGCCATATTGACTTTCATCAAATGCAATTCGGTTGTCACCCTTCTTTTTATGTTTCATTTGTCTGCCCTCCGGGTATTCATGCACTCATTAGGCCAGCATTGTTTTGTGTATATGTGGCTAGGTTTTGCAACTGTCTAAATTTATGTCAGGCCCAAATTTGAGGAAATAGAAAAATAAACTTTTATATAGATTCTCTGTACACAATAAAACTTGAAAATTATTTATGCTGTTTAAAGAGAAATATATTCTAAATGTCTAAAAATCTTCCTATTAAACAAACACAAACTGATCAAATGTATCATGCATTTCAGTTTCCAACCTATTTTTAATGTTTTATTTGTCTGCCCTCTGGGTATTCAGGCACTCATTGGACCTACATTGTTTATTAATCATGAGGCTAAGTGCTGCAACTGACTGCCTAAATTTATGTCAGGCTCAAACGTATATATATGTGGATATTTAAAAAAAAAAAAAAAGTACTGGATTTGTTTTACTCATTCTTACAACATTTCATTACACCATTCATAATCGCTAGTCCTATACCAACCAGCCTACACAGCCGTAACTTGGCCTACAAAACTCCATGGTACGTTAATCCCTTATTCTATACATTGTATCCTTACTTCACATACTGTCACTTTGTTCTTGCACAGTATTAGCAATGTTATGTCTCAAGTCATAAGTCATATTGAGACACCATATAATCTATTGTGTTGGTTGTATACTGGTCATCCTTTGGCATGAGCCTTATAGTCAGCCTCCACTGTATGCCACGTTACCATCCTTCTAGTCTAAGTAGTATTCCTACCTTTACAAATGGACTGGACAAAACACTAGTGTAGTGGAATAGACCATGCTACCATATTCTTATACCGGCTCCAGGGCATGTCCCTTTCCTCCCTTTCCGTTGTCCCCTATGTTTGGGATGTGCAGCAAATGTGTGAGACATCCTGCCCTTGTTTTGAAACCTAAGCCCCTGTTTCGCCTGGCCATTTGTTTAATTCCATTCCCCTAAGTGTTTCCCACGGTTTTGTTCGACTACCTTCAGTGTGTGGTGGCTCTTGATTTACTGACTCCAGCCTCAGTCCACTCCTTGTGAAAGTCCCCAACACATTTGAAAGGCCTTTTCCTGACAACCCTCATCCCTGCTGCTTGTGCACCTTTTTCTTCCACACTTTTCCCGTTCACATAACTTTCTGTTAATGTGCTTTGATACAGCACTTTGGGAACATCCAATTTCCTTCGCAATTACCTTTTGAGGCTTTCTCTCCTTATGGATGGTGTCAATGATGGTTTTCTGCACAACTGTCAGGTCAGCAGTCTTCCCCATGATTGTGATTCCTACTGAACCAGAGTGAGAGACTATTTAAAGGCTCAGAAACCCTTTGCAGGTGTTATGGCTTACTTAGTTGATTAGAGTGGGACACTGTAAACCTAGAATATTGCACCTTTTCACAATATTCTAATTTACTGAGATTGTGGATTTGGGATTTTCATGAGCTGTAAGCCATAATCATCACACTTATGACAAATCACGGCTTGAACTATCTTGCTTTGCATGTAATGCGTCTATCTCATATATTAGTTTTCCCTTTTACGTTGCATTACTGAAATAAATGAACTTTTGCACAATATTCTAATTTTTTGAGTATAACCTGTACAATAAAAAAATTTAAAAAATTATAATAATCATGGTTAGATCTCACCACGCAGTGATAGTACAACAAAGACTTGATCCTTAGCTATGGTGAAGATAAGTAATATCAGGTCCAATGGCACAATTTTTCTGTTGACTCTCTAATATGTGAACTTCTATCTAAATATCTTGTCCCAGAAAGGCTGATTGTAGGGGTCATAGTATCAATGATGAGGTGCCCTTTAATGTATTCAGGATCCAGTTCAGCAGGGGGCTGCGTGCTCGGGATCACCATCCCTTCGAAGGCCCTGGCGGTGTGTGAGAGAATGCGGCTGTTTAAAGCTAATCTGAGGGGCGTGCCCGCCATTCCCAGCTGGCCATGCCCCCCCCACGACGGTTCTCATCATGACATTTCTACAGTTAGTTATATACATCAACAAACTTTATTTACAACAACATGTTCACAATAGACACTATTTGACATATGAACACAATATGATATCCTTACTAGGTATATAAGTGTTATGAATACAGGGAACACAGACTTCATAGAGGGAACTAGAGGCAATCCTAAAGTATTAGAATTTGTTAGTAATGCCTAATCAGGGATGTGCAGAACTTAAAGGTAATATGTAATTAATACTAAATATGAAGAAAAATAATAAATGTCAAAAAATAAGTATTAGAAAAAAATAGAGTAGAGTAGAGACTACAAATTTGATAAATCATAGGACTTGTTTATAAAAAACAAAACCTGACTAGTCATGGTGCAAAACCAAGGAGTTAGCTACACTCCCAAATATTTATATAAGAAACGGGGGGGGGCTGCATTAATGGGGTGCTGCTGGGGGCCAACTTATACAATACACAAGATCCAGCACACTCACCTATTCACTTAACAGCAGTTTTGCACCCGTCCCTGTCCCCAAGTAAGTGGGTTAATCTCATAAAAGCAGACATTAGGCTATTAGAGTAGGACCTGTCAAAGATGGGGTACATTGGCGTTGTGGCAGGCTTATACAATGTATGATCATATAATGTAACTAAACCCCCATTATTTTTGCCTAAATTAGGTGTTTAAAAAAAACAAAAAAAACTAATAAAAATCTGTCAACATTGAAGTTGCTGTTTAGTGAATAGGTGAGTGCGCTGGATCTTGTGTATTGTATAATTTGGCCCCCAGCAGCACCCAATTTATGCATGTTCAGGTGAGTGCAGCCTCCCCCCTCTTTCTTATATAAATATTTGGGAGTCTAGCCAACTCCTTGGTTTTGCATCCCTCCCTGTCATCAGTGCCTCATCCCAGGGCCCTATTTAGCCTTGTACTGCAGAGAGCCCCAGATGGAATTTTCTTTCCCCAAGTAAGTGGGTTAATCTCATAAGAGCAGACATTAGGCTGTTAGAGTAGGACCTGCCAAAGATGGGGTACATTGACGTTGTGGCAGGCTTATGCAATGTATGATCATATAATGTAACTAAATCCCCATAATTTTTTGCCTAGATTAGGTGTTTTTAGAAAAAACTTTTTAAAACACTGATAAAATCTGTCAACATTGAAGTTGCTGTTTAGTAGATAGGAGAGTGCACTGGATCTTGTGTATTGTTTATTATATATATATATATATATATATATATATATATATATATATATATATATATATATATATATATATATATATATATATATATATATTAAATAGGATTGTTTTTTTCTACTCCAGTTGTCAATATAAAGTAGGGGCCAAGTAATAATACAGAAACAATAGGATCTTGGCTTACTACCAAATATTTTATAGAGTAAGCTATTGCCATAAACTCAGCATAACATATTAAATGTAACCTTTTAGCCTCCCTTTTCATGCAATACTATGTCACTGGAATCAAATAGAGAGAAACAGGATCTGTAGACTACACATTACATATATACACATCTAAGGGAGTTTGTGTAAATCTTTAAACTACTTCAAAATACAGTGCTAGACTAAAAATGCCACAAGCCAGGGAAAATCAAAGCATCCTTTCAATTGAAGTCATACATCAAACATGCAATAGACTTGTTGGTTAGATTAAAATGGGTAAAGAAATGAAAAATAAACCAAAATCTTCAAAGAACATCAGCTGTCTCTCCCTCTGTCTCTTACACACCCTTTATATATTATATGTATATGTGTATCAATATAAACATATCAATATATCTGTATGCCAAAATAACCAGAGTGTTACAGTATACGATCATTTTTTCTATTATTGGTATAATGTCATTTTTAAATGAAAAACTTTCAATAGTTATCTGCTCTTCCTCAGAACTAAAGCAATACTGATCAATATAACAACATGTAACACTTTCAACAACTGATGTTGTTGGCGGGAGTGAGAGGGGTGTTGTAAATAGCATAGGATGAGCCTGAAAGTATAAGGTGCAAAGTGATTGTAAATAAGCCATCTTCTGTTATTTACAACACCCCACTCGCCGCACCTCCCCTTCTATAACAATTTGTGTTGGTATACCTCTATCATATTGATCAGTATTGCCTCAAGCCTGAGGAAGAGAGGATACCCTTAATTTGTTTTCTTAAATATTGTGAGTCCAAGAAAAAAGGTATCATTGCATACTGC